TGACACTGAGTTAGCAAAGAATATTAGCTGGTAACAACTCTCACTGCCTTGCTCACTAAATTTGATTTTTTATATAAGGAAAATAGGCATATATTACCCAAAGCTTATGAACAATGCAAGTAACTATACATCAGATTTATTTTAAAAGATTAAAAATGGCAAAAAAAGTCTTATAAGATCTCATATGAGAATACAGAGGTGTGAGCTATTGTTTGCGTATAGATAGAAAGGGAATACCAGCTCCTTGCGTGGTGAGCATCCTGGGGCCTAAAGGAGCTACATTGCTAGCCACTGATGTAACTGGTCCTTACTAGTGGATTTCTTATATACTGGTATATCTAGCATCTGGAGCATCTGGAGCTAAGTGTCTATGACTTGGTTTATCATAAGGGAGAACTGATAATTGACCTTGGATGAGCTACATTATCCCAAGCGTAGCAATGGCCGAATGAGAAGGTATCTGTATCAATGTACAGAAGGAAAAAGGGGTGATGGTCTGGCATGGCACATAGGTCCAGGGTAGAGGAGCATGCTCCTTTTGACCAGCTTCCTGGTTGAGAAGACAGCATAAATTGCCCTGATTGCAAACAGGCCCCTGAGATTGGAAATGGCACATTTCTCCTCAGTATAAATTGAGAGCATGCTCTGTTCTACTCAGTCGAGTACTGTATATAATTTTTCAACGTAGCTTTGTCTTTATGTGCCATGAAAACCCCTCAGCATTGGCTGTTCCTCACTCATGTCCCAGCACCGCTGCCAAGAACATCACATTTCATTCTGTTGTATGGACCATAACTTCCAAAACATGCCTGTTTCAATTCAGGCGCAGGCCACCCAAAACCAGCTGTTCCATCTATGGAACACTTTGCACATCCCTACTTGGAAGTAAAACAAAAAGAAAGCTGGAAGAAGGCAATGACAAACCACCTCCATATTGTTGCCAATGCACTGTGTATTGTGTGAGGCTGCATCAGTGTGTGCGTGCGTGTGCGTGTGGGTGGGTTTATATATTTAAATCCCTGGTAGCTCCTTTTGTTTTATGTCACTTTGGATGTTTTTGGAAGTTGTGGTTTGACATGGCTGCTAAAGAAGCTAACTTCATATCCCATTTGCTTCTGCAGCAGCAGTTCCTTGTTAATGCAGAACTCAAAATCAAAAATTCCTTAAGATCTTTGCAGGGAGAAGGAAATGTTTCTAATGTTTCAGGATTCAAACTCCTTGCATTTATTTTGAAATGGTGATACTGCTTAACCAACCCAAGCTATAATATTAGCTATTGTAATATCCCCACAGAGGAGACCAATGAGTAAAAGGAGAATCCCTAACAGCAATGGGAGTGGTCAAGCCTTCTCCAGTATAATCTAGTCCAGATCCATTGGACTGTCATACCCAGAATTCTCAGCCAACATGGCCTACGTCATACTGGCTGGGAGTTTTCAGGTTTGTAGTCTCCCCCCAAAAAATCAAGGTTGGGGAAAGCAAAACTATATAGCCAGTAGATGAGGGTAGCATCTACTTATTTCTCCTCCTTGGGAGAAAGAAAGCATCATAGAGCATCTTATTCCATCAAGAGTCGCTTTATGTGAGATGGGCGGCTATATAAAGGTGACATGTAAATAAATAAATCTAAAACTTTGGGAAGAGCAATGGCTTAACAGGGCTGATGTTGAGGCAGCTGGGTGCAGGTTTAGTAGCTGCTTTGTGGTCTCTCTTTCCATGCCTCCCATGTGTGCCCTGGCAGCAGTGAGTGAGACCTTTTCAGATAGAGGGGGAGAGCGTGAGATTACTCATGTGAAGACACCTTGAACTTTCCTTCTGGAACAAAGACACTGCAGAAGAAAGGAACAAAACATATTGCTTTGATTTAAAGAAGTCTTACCTTAATGCATTTATTATCTGGTTGCCAGAGACACTTTCTCAGGTTTAGATAAGTGGCACAGAAAGCAGACAACCAGGGCATTGTTGGCTGCAGTTCACAGGTCTCTCATGCTTAGGCTGGCATTGTAATTATTGCATCTATTTTAAATACGTAAGGTGCCGTGCGTTTGTATGCTGCTGTGTCTGTGAGGAATTTGGGGGAGAACATCTCAAGCTTTATAGTTTAATTTCATTCCCATTTCTGTTCTCCACTGACAAAATAGAATATTTATTCATATAGCCCAATAAATCTTTAAAAATGGAACATTTATTTGCAATTCTGCCACTTTCCCCCAGGTATTAAAGTTGCTAATGTGGTTGCAGAGACATTAAAAGTTATGTTCCAAAGAATCTGTACTAGTAAGCCATTGCAGGAAGAGACAAATGGCAGACTTGAATTCCTGCAGCTGAAAAATAGGCACACTAGCTCATGGACAGGTGCCCAGAGTGAGATGGTTGCTGAAATTAATTCCTTCTTGAAATAAAATCTTTGGAATTCAGTTGATGAAGCATATATCCTTTTTTTTCTCCCCTTGAAAGAAATAGAGTTTCAGAATATTTCTTATGGCCCAAATTTACCTAGCAGTCAATGCCAGTAAAGCTTGTGTCACAAAATTAAGGAGAGGGCATTTGAAATGTAGGAAGTGATAGGGGTGTGCGAGACTTTTAAATTCAAGTGGCCTTGAATTCAGCACAACCTGTTTGAAATAGCTGTTCCATATGTGTGAAGCAGGCTGTTTCAAACTTTGAGGAAGGTTTTTTAGCTTGAAATGCAAGTATGTTTTGAAATTAAACTGTTTTGTACACCATGAATAAGGTATCTTATCCTGAGTCAGTTTGTCCAGCACAGTATTGTCTCCACTGACTGGCTGTGTTTTTAGCATTACCTGGAGATGCTGAGGCTTGAGCCTGGGACTTTTTGCAGGCCCAACAGAGGCTTTACTACTGAACTGGTACCCTTGGCTTGGGTAAATATTGTTCTATAATACAAATGGAAAATATCCTAAATGTATTTACCCGTAAATTAAGAAAGAAAAGATCATGTTTCTCCCTTTTTCTTGCTGCTGCAAGGCACTGATACAGTGAACGATAAGAATTGTCCAAAGGCATTCAGCATGAATATAAACAAATTATGTAATTAAACAGAAACTATGCAAACTGATTTAACTCTGTATAAAGAAGCTTTAAGCAGCTTGATCATGGTTGCATGGGAAGGAAACTGAGTTCCCCATTGTTTTCTCTTTTACATAAAGATGAAAAGTTTGTATATTGTAGCAGCATCTTCCACTCAAGGATAGCTAGGTCTGTATTGTGGAAAGGAAGCCAAGTTGGGCTAGTATCATAAAGGAGGTGGCCGAAAGGAAAGTCATTCTTTGTCAATTCAGAATGGAACCCACCTTCTTCAGGGAACGGTGGAGGGCAGAAAAGGATTTTGAAAGATTAAAAGTGTGGTTTGTTTGTACTGTATATGATTAGAGGAAACTAGCTTGGAGCTATTTTTTCTTTTCAGGATTGCATTTGTTGCTTTTGTCCTTGGATAGAAATGGACCATCATCTAATTAAAGGATTCATGGTTGATATATTTATTTTAATTGATTACAGTACTTGTTCAAATCTGTATAAATGTGGCATCTGAATGCAGAAGAGGAAAGGATGCTTCTCCTTAACATGTATTTATCCTGCAACAGGCATCATCTTAGAAAAAGCATTTTCCTTTCTCACAGTAGCCTTTGTTGAAATGGCATCAGCAGCCCGCCTGCAGAGTCTTTTTTTTGGGGGGGGGGGGGGGGGG